CGGGAGGGGGGGGTCTGCATCCAGCCGCGTGCTGGGACGGCTGGGGGGTCACATGCCGCCATGCACGGCCGTTTAGCTGCTTTGGTTTGTAGCTAATGACAAGTCTTCTCTCATCCCACCCTAATTGCAAAGGGGGCAGGACCCCCCCCCAATCAGCGGTCTCTGACAGGATAGTGACACCCAGCTGCCCGACAGAACGCTGAAGTTACGGCCCCGAAGTCTCTAAGAGCGATACCTCTGCCCGGACTACGGCCCGTGAAATTCCAGGCGGGCAGCATGCCCTGGGAATTCGCTGCTGACATCTCACTGTGACAAGGTCTGGTTCCCATGCACGACTCGTGCTGACAAAAAAACCACCTCGAGGGGGGCTGGCACGCTCCTTCAGCCTCAGGCAAGCGGCCTGCGCTCCCTTACCTGCGTCCCAGCTGCTCCGTTCCCGACACAGCCTCCTGGCTAACGCAATTTCCCTTTGGCACCCAGTTGTTCGGGCTGTTGTTACACTAGCAAGCAACGTGAAGACGGAAAACCTGTTTTCTGGCCCAGTTGAGTCCACTACAGGCTCTGACTTGACGGAACAGATCCCAGCAGTCAGCTGCCGACCCTAAAGTTCAGGAGCTGGTAACCCCCTGCTTTGGCAGTAGAACAGACAGGGAGCGACTGTGCTCGGGAAGGAAGTTACAGCCTTGAGTGTTCGACAAGCAAAGTGCTTGAAAAACCTTGAAAGGCGACAGACCTCACCCCACAAGCGGCACCGTCAGCGTTAAATCACGCAGTCCCGGAGCCTCGAGGCGGATGAAGTCGGCAGCGTCGCGGCCCAGACCACGCTCTTCTGCGGCTGGCGGGAGCCGACTCCGCCGCCTGCCAGCCATTCCCTCAGGGCACTACGGTGCTCTCTTGGGACAGGAAAAGTGGGTTGCACTGAGCTGTAGAATACGGGGAACCCTGTCTTGGGTCACTTCAGACCTCCAGAAAGCTCCCTACCCTTCTCTCCACGTCTAGTTACAGCCCCGTAAGCCGAGAGCCGACAGCAAGGCTGCACATCCACTTCAGTAAGCCTTTATTAAAGAACCCTTTAACATGAAATTATACAAATAAAAGTCGGTATAAACACAAGTCCACGTTGTGCCGTGACATGAATGGCAAAAAAAAAGTAAAAACCATAAAAGAAAACTAGTTGGCCGCTATGTACAGTTGGACACGGTCGTGTCGCAGGCTAAAAGTCTTTTACAAAATAGCCATTTCTTCGCACGAAGACCACCCTTCCGCTCGCTCACGCCGCGCTGCAAGATGGCTTTGTTGCAGTACCTCTACCTAAAAACCAAGACAAAATGTACGTCAGATCTGTGCAAGTTACTACAAGAATCGTTAAAAGGTCCATTTTCATGAACTGCTTTAAGTCTTCTATATATTCCTTGCTTCACTGTTAAAGATCACATGCATATTTACCAAGGGAACGCAAGCCGTTTTGTTACCCATCAGCAATTTAGCTCCCCACATACAGCCACTCGGGAAGCTGTTCCGGACCACCACGTGTCCGAATTCAGACCGTTTAATCAGGCTCAGATCCGACTTCCCCCCCCACCAGAAACCCTGCCCCAAACGGGTTTGGGTTCTTTGGGCATCCAGCTCAAGAGCTGCTGTGCAAGCACAGGCCAGGCCGATGGGGTCGAAAGAGTCCACGTGCATATGATCTTTAACGTTACTTTTTTTTTCCAGATTTACAAGTTCGTTTTGGTTTGCGGATTTCACTATTAGCTATAAAAAGAAAAAAAGCAAGCATTAAATCTTAAAGAATGCACACTTAAAATGAGGTTCCACAATTGAAATACAACACTAAACAGAAGACCAAATGATTAAGCTGTAAAGGCATTTATGTACTTTAACTCCTGTAAAAAACCATTTAAGTTAAGACACTTAATCTCCAAAAAGATTAAAAAAAAAAAGAAGCCAAAGTCTGAAGTTTTCCACTTTAATCTTTACGCTGGTACATGAAGTTGGAAGAGACCATACCACAGGACAGCGTTTTCTGGTGTATGCCTTGCGCTCTGCCTGCAACGTGCGACCCCAGAGATAGACGTGGTCAGGGTGACACACGGCCTGCAATGAAGTTCCCGCTGGCGGGTACAAACAAGGTATAATGTCAGAGTTAGAAGACAACATTCTTGTTTTCCTTAAGTTGTACCCATTTCAGTACTTTACCTGTTAATACTTCTAATAAGTTTAATTATTCCTCTAGACCACCTGGTACACAACACAAAACAGAAAAACTCTTATGTTTTTCTGCAGTACTAAAGAAGATAAAGTCACATTTTTACAAAGTTAAAGATCTATAGACACTGTAGGCAAAGCTGGTTTTAAAAAGAAGTATGTTTTTAAGTTAAAAAAAAGCTTAATTAAAAGGAAAAGTCATGCTACGCAAGTTTTTTTACTCTTCATTTGTCTATTGATCTTTAATTAGATTAGACATACTCAGAGTGGTCCTCGCACTCATGTACACACCTGTTTCCTCCAGTACTAGGTACTGCTTTAGTAGGGCTGGTAGTTGTTTTGGTGATTGCCGCCACCACGGGATGCCTTTCCGTACGTGCTCTGCTGACCTGCAGGTAACAGGGGGCGGGGGGAAGACAACCACCCAGAAGCATTACCGTCTGTCGCTCCGAAGGAGCCTGTTCCCACACAGCGCACCAACTGGGCTGTTCCTCAGAGCCTGGTGTTACCGGCCAGAGGTACTACGGAACACGTTACTCGGGAGCCTCCCGTTTAAAGATGCACGCCCTTATCACCTGGAACAGCATCAAAACCACTTACCACTGTAATCTGTGTATCCCGGCCCGTATCCGTAATTAGGATAGTTGTACCCAGAGTAGTCATATCCTCCGTAGCCACTGTAACTTTGATCACTGTAAGTGCTATTGTAGTTTCCATATCCTTGATCGTAGTAGTTATTGAATCCTTGATTCCAGTTTTGTCCCTGACCTGAAAGCACGCATAGCACGTGTAAGCTACGGAACTTCGCTATTTCACTCCCCTCCTATGCCAATCTTCCTGCGCCAGAACTACTCCCTGGCAGTAACATCCCCTCACCTTCCCAAGAAGCAAAGAAAAACCATTTTCTCAAAAGAATTGAGGCGACTCATTTACTATGAGAGAGGGACCCTAAGGTCCTACAGCCCACGGCAGCGTTAGAGAAGGACAGCAGGTAGTCCTGCTCTTACGGCAGCCAGCAAAAACCCAACACAACTCCTGCTGCCCTCCTTTAACTTCTGTTTTGGATTATTAACTGCCTGAACGCCAAGTTACACCGCAAGATCAGCTTTACTGCATCGTGTCAGTTGTGACCGCTCGACTTCCAAGACTGAGACGCACTATCCCCTAACACAACAGCCGATTGCTTCTCCACCTATTCGCAAGGTGCAGCGAAGTGACCCTCTAACAGCTCAGGGTTTCTCCCCCATGAGCCAACGAACACGCTGTCCCTTCACACGAAAGGAAAACTGCACTCTTTGTCCAGCTACGCTGCCACCTGGGGCTATAAAAAAAGCACCCTAAATCCAGCCTGCCACTTCACCTCCCGAACGCGCGCAGAGCGAGAAGAGATTCTTAAGCTTCTGCAAGGAATCACAACCACCAAAATACCATTTACTAACGGGCTACTTCCCAGGCTCAGTTTAAGCGGGAGACCTGCATGCAGCCCAACACCCGGAATAGCTACACGCACCTCAGTGTTCGGTACACACGCTCAAGCATTCACACTAACAACATCAACATCTAAACCACTCACCCCGTCCACGCCCCCTTCCACCTCCTCGCCCACCAGACGCGTTGCTTTTTCCTCCTTTCTGCTGCTGCTGCTGCTGCCGGTATACCTCTTTGGGCTGTGCTACTTTGATCTCACACTGCAAAGACAAATTCTTTAACTCCTTAGGAACTTTACAACGTTCATTTTGTGAGCTGCATTCAGGGAAGGCTACAGAGATGGTTTAATTTCACATGCTAAGAACGAGAGCTTCTGTACCTTGCCTGAACCAATTTGATGGTATCTGCTTTCTAGTAACTTCTTCACTGGTTCTTCATCTGTGTACGTGATGAAACAGAAGCCCCTCCTTTCATTTGTCTTTGTGTCCATGGGAAGCTCGATGTTTTCAATCTGAAATCAAGCAACGCAGGAGATCTGTAAGGAACTTCTTACGCTATTTGGCATTCCCGTGTCTATGCTGACTGCTTTTGACAGCTGTAAGGCAGCCCCATCACGCTACAAAATCATTAACACACGTAGAGTTCGAACGAGTCCTACTTTTTACGTAAGCCTGAGCCAGGTCTCGCCTCACAGATTCTTTTATCTTAAGACAGAGGCCACTCCGCGCTTGAAAACCAGAGCTGCTCTTACATGCCGTTACACCGTACCTCGCCAAAAGCACCGAAGTACTCCTTGATCTGTTCTTCAGATGTATCCGGACTCAGCCCACCAACGAACACTTTTTTTGGTGGCTCCTTTCCTTTTAGGGCTTTTGCCCTTTTAGGATCTATTAATTTCCCATCCAGTTTGTGTTCCTTCAGTTCCAACACCTAAAAAGCATATGAGAACACAAGGGCTCAGATCGCTGCAGTGACACCGGCGGGCTTTGCGCCACCGATCCAGAAGAAATTCACCCACCTTCTCCACGCTGGCAGCATCCTTGAAGAGCACGAACCCAAACCCCCGCCCTGCCAGTGACCGGGTCTGTTTTAATCGTACAATCCACAACCTCGCCAAACCGAGAGAGATATTCCGTCAAGTCTTTCTTGCTGGTGTCCCAGCTGAGGCCTCCGATAAACATTTTTCTGAAACGCAACAAGTACGTGCGAATGCAGGCGAATGCACTGGTGTGCACACGCG